GGACTTGGATGGGTAAAATCTATCATTTAAAGACTCGAGAAAAAATGATACAATCGATGCATAGAATAACAAAGATCAGCTGTGAGACGCTTATCCAATAAGCGATCAATAATTGTCCGGTCCCTGCTGTTAAGCAATATATCTTAAGAAATTATATGCGAAATACGCATCAATGAGCTCTCTGAGCCCATCAACATTCTTTTCTCCACTTACAAGTAACATCCACAAATGCTCTGGAGTCTTATCACATTGAATTAAGGTTGCTTGCTGAAATCTCTTAGTGACTGTCTAAATTCTGTCAAAATTATAATAAACTATTAGTAAATAACCTGTCAAAATTCTGACGAATTTTGAAACCCGTCGTAACTGAAATTATGTCGAAATTCTAATTAACAATTAGTGTATAACCCGTCGAAATTATGACGATATTTTTCTGAAAGGATTTAGGCAAGCATCCTTACATTGAATTAAAAAAAATGACCTCTCTTCAGCATGGTTTAATTGGTAAGTTTCTTTATATAATATGATTGCTTGCTATTAGTTTTCTTCATTCGTTGCGTGATAGTGCTATCAGCTTTTTTTTGTGTTATTAGTTCTTTATTTATTATGCGACTATTGGTTTTTTATTCATTATATGATATCGCAATCAGCTTTATTTATTACGCAATTGTGCTACTAGTTTTATTTATTCGTTATATGATCGTGCAATCAACTTCTTCATTCGTTATGCAATTGTGCAATTGACTTCTTCATTCGTTATGCAATCGTGCAATCAACTTCTTTATTCGTTACGTAATCGTGCTAATTAGTGCCACCAGCTTTTTTTCGTGTTATTAGTTCTTTATTCATTATGTGACTACTGGTTTTTTATTTATTATATGATCACGAAACCAGCTTTATTTGTTATGTGATTGTGCTACTAGTTTTGTGTATTCATTACGCAAGTGCAATCAACTTTATTTGTTATATGATTGTGCAATCAACTTTCTTTATTCGTTATGCGATTGTGCTATTAACTTTTTCATTCATTTCATGATCTACAATCTGCTTCATTCGTTATGTGATTATGCTACTAGTTTTTTTTTGTGACGCGTGTTACAAGTTTTTTAATTGTGGAATCGTGCTATTCACTTGTAACTCGATCAATTGTTAGTTTTCTTTATCTGAACTAACTATAATTTATTTATTTCTTCTAGGTGCGTGTCATAACATTATTTTGCTTGATGCGAAGAAGCATTCAGACTTGGAGTACGCCATCTTTGAATTTCGCACGAGGAAAGTTTCTGCTACTGGTATCGACTGTGAAATTCTCGAAGAAGTTCATAAGTTTCCTTTTCCAATTCAAAAATTGATTATTATCGAAGCCTGTGCCATTGAAAAGAGGGTAGAAAACTACAAAGTGACACCTGGTTTGATGTTTTCTAATTGCTATTGTTTGTTTTTCCGGCAGTACCGGTTGACCTGCTGACGCATATTTCACGAGCACATGCATGGAGCTAAGAAATTATTAACATTTAATGTATAGGAACAATTTCAAAAAATTTTTATGGAGTGTGAACTTGAGATATACAGGCATCGAGAACCAGTAAGAGCCGTAATATCTGAAAAAAGTGAAACTGAAAGAGCAGCTAAAGATCGACAACAGATCATGAACGAGTTGATGGAAAGAACATGCGATTTGTATTGGAGGGTTGAGAAGAGAGGAGATCCTGAACAAACAGTTTTTTTTATTGAAAAATTGAAAAATGGTTTGGGTTCTATTCTTAACTAATACTTAAAAGTTTTTTAGTTTTTTAATTATATATGTTTATTAAGTATAGTATTATAAGATCTAAACGATTTTTTTAATTATAACAATTAATATTTATGCAATAAACATAATTAATAATCTGTTCCTCTATCTATAAAGGAGAACGGTTTATAATATCAAATGATGCTCCCGGATGGTGTAAATTTATTGTTGAAAAATGTTGGGATCCTATTCGAAAAAACAGACCTTTATTAAATCTATTTGCAGGAATTTAAGCAAACTGAATACTTTGCATTTTCAGAACTATAACTCTTCAGGTGACCGATTCAGTATTCACTTCAGAAAATTGATTTGCAACTTTAACACTGGATTCCTTCCGAAGTGGGATCAGTCACATTATCCTGTATCAGATCACATGACTCACAACGCTTTAACCGCTCCCTAAATTGAAAGTCATCTTATTCAAATCAATAAAAATTCAACAATATCCAAACTAATAAAAATTCAACAATAAAATTTTCAAATACTAAATTGTTAAAATAAAAATACTAAACTAAATACTAAAAATATTAAACTGAAATACTGAATTACTAAAAATATTGAACTATTAAAATACTGGAAATATTAAATTGCATAGAATATAAATTATTAATTTAATTTATTGATTTTTTAAAAAATTTTATTTTTTTTATTTAAAGACTTATATAATTTTGCAACATTAGGAATAATACAGAACAGATTATATATTATTTGTATGTTTAAGATTTTTTGAAAAAAATTAATACATATCTGTATTTTAGATTACCAAATCTACTTTAGTCAACAAACTCTCAAAATACTGAAATAATGTCAATAATTCGAAATACTAGCTAGAATCAAGTAGATATTTTTTTAATTATTTGCTATTCTTTCAAAAATAAAAAAATGAGATATTTTTTATTTTATAATTATATATATTTCTATTCATTATCAAATATCACATTTCCCCTGTATTTTTTGACATGCTTGATATGTATATATTTTCTTATTGTAAAAAAATTAAATAACAATTAAAATTTATTCAAATATTACCATATGTATACGCATGTATGTAAGCATTTCGCTATCGATTGCGACGAACAATTAGGAATTCAATATCACATAATAGTAATGATCCCTTTTCGTATGTACAGTCTGTAACAAAAAAAAACTGTAAAATACAGACAAAATACAAAATTATTTAATTTGCTTTGTTCAATGTGATTTGTGATGCATAACATAGAAAACAGATATAATTAACATGAATAAACTTAATATAACTTAACAAATATTATTTGT